GATCTACTTTCCTCCCTTTCTTGAAGATAGGCACCACATTGACCTTCTTCCAGTCTTTGGGCACTTCACCAGAGCGCCAGGAGCTCTCAAAGATCCATGCCAGGGGCCTACGATGCTTGCCAGCTCCTTGAGTACCCTGGGGTGTAATCCGGCTGGCTTGAAGGTATCCAGCCTGTCAAGGTGTTCCTTCACGAGGTCAGCTTCAATGGAGGGCAAGGAATCTCCCTCACCCGGGCCTCCCTGTCCCGTAGTGGGCGAGGGCGTCCCATGGGACTGGTGAAAAACTGACGCAAAGTACCCATTTAGCAAGTTTGCTTTTTCCTGGGCATCGGTTGTCAGTTGCCCCATCTGGTTTAGCAGGGGTCCAGTGTTGCCCTTGCTTTTCCTCCGGCTCCCCACATACCTAAAAAAGGACTTTTTATTGTCCTTGATATTTATAGCTAGCTGGAGTTCCATCGCAGCCTTGGCTTTCCTGGTTTGCTCTCTGCAGGTCCGGACCAGAGCAAAGTATTCCTCCTTGGTGGTGGTTCCGGTCCTTCATCCTTTGTGGATTTTCCTTTTAAGACGCAGGAGGTCCACCAGTTCCCTGGAGAGCCAAGGGGGCTGCTGTGCCCTTTTGCATCCCGTCTCGGAGGAAAGGCAGGACTTTGCTTGCGCATCCAGGATTGCTCCCTTGAGGAGCAACCACTTGTCCTGAACTCCCCTCCTCTTTGGGTTGTGGCCCTTTAGGGCCTCCCTGACAAACCTCCTAAGCTTGTCAAAGTCAGCTTTCCTGAAGTCGAGGACTTCTGTATTACTGACTGACTTGCCAGCTTTACGGCGGATGGTGAAGGTGATCAGCTCATGGTCACTGTCACCCAGCTTAACTTCGATTGTTAGGTCGCCGATTAGGTCGTCCCCAGTTGCCAGTACAAGATTTTCACTTGTTTGGTGTAATTGCAGCCTCTTGCCCATGTCAGCCCTTATCTTCAGCCTTTCTTAGAGACCCATGGAGCCCATCACTAGTCTTTCAAGCCCAAGAGGGAATGACACTATTCTTCAAGGGGACCTAGTACAGGATTGTCTTGCATGTCTTACATCAGCACCTCGAAGAGTAGAAGGGAAGGAAGGGTGCTTTCAGTTCATCCTGCTCGCTCAGCTGTGCAAGGTGGACCAGAGCTGGAGCAGGAGATGCGGAACAAGCAGCTGCCTCTGCTCATGAGAGGCTTGTCGTCTTGTTCTGTGATGGCTCTGTGGGTGCTTACTGTGTTGTTGATCGGTTCAGGAAGAAGTCGCGTGGCTTGCCATCCCCATCAGAAATGGGGCTGCTGCCTCTTCCCCCATTAATTCTAGGAAAGTTGATTTCCCTTTGATTTCTCCCATCTGAGATGCAGAAAGGAAAGACGGCAGACGACAGGAGCTCCATGTTGGTGTTACCTCTTTGGGGTACTTCATTTGGTACCGTGTAACAAGTTTCCCTTGTTACACGGTAGAGGCCCTGTAGCTGCAGCTCTCCAAAGGCTCACGCAATCACTCTGTGTTTTTCCTTAGGAGACAAGATAACATATTGCGAGATGGCAAATAAGAGAGTCATGGAAGTGATCAACTCTGCCAGGACACGACAAGAATTCCTCCATGCAGAGACTTTCCACAGCAGCCAGGGAGATCGCTGCTTCTCCCAGCAAGATCTATATGCGAGCGGGGACGTGAAACCGAAGCCAGACACGTGGGTTTATCCGCTAATCCAGATGAAGCCCTTTGGGATTCAGATAGACGAGATGGTCACAGAGACACTACTGACAGAGGCAGAGCGGGGTGCCAGGGTGTACCTCACTACCGGCTACTTCAACCTGACGCAAGCCTACATGGATTTAATTCTCGGCACCAGGGCAGAGTATCAGATTCTGCTGGCTTCGCCAGAGGTGAACGGGTTCTTTGGTGCCAAAGGGGTGGCTGGGGGCCTTCGGCCAGCAAGAGAGGGTCAGACTGCAGGAGTACTTCAGGAATGGATGGACTTTCCATGCTAAAGGTGAGAGAGTTTGTCCCCAAGCCTTCTGTAGAGAAACTGCAAGGCTAGCATGGAGTCAGTATATGAAGTTGGGGAGAGGGTGAGTCCACTAGCAAGCTGCTGTCACACCGTGCCAGTCCAGTGTTCAGAGCACCCATCGCGCACGTACACCTGGAAGATCTGGATGCCTGGGGGGCTGGAGGTTGCAAAGTGGTCTCTTTCCTTTTGGTTTCATCCCGTCCCCAGTCAGTAGCGACTCCAAGCAGTTTCCATGTGACAGTCAAGGACAGGCAGTTGGAGCAGAAGTCAGGAGCAGACCGCTGAGCACTTTGCTCCCTAGTGCTGGCTTCCCCACACAGGATTCGAGTGGGGGAGCTGGGGTAAAAAGGCATTACAGCCTATTCAGTGCGAGAGCAGCCCAGTTGCCTTGTGCCTTTTGTACAGGGCATGGGGCGAGGAACGGTGTGCCTCGGGCATGCTTGGTCTGAGAGAACAGGAGACATCTGGATGAGTTTGCAGGAGTGATGGCAGTTTGATTCGGTTTCTCAGCTTCCTGTTGCTTTGGTCTAAACAGTTTACAGAACAGGAAGTGATGCAGTGAGTCCTGCTCTAGGGATATGGAAGGGGGCCGGGGGCAGGAAATGGGCAGGATCAGCTGTGGAGCCAGCAACGAGCCCTGTGGCACTTGTGAGTGTCTCACCCCATGGGTGGGTCCATGCCCTTCTTTATGGCGTGGTTGGGAGGTGACGGGGACATAGCTGCTTCTCCCTCAGTTGTACAAATGAATTCAGCGTGTGGGAGCAGCATGGCTGAGGAAGCAGCGATGCGAACAGGGAGTGTGTATGTGAGAAGTCTGAGTGGGGTGGAGGCAGCTGGCAGGGGGCACCCCTGAGTGCAGAAGGCCGTGTAGTGAATGTACTGCACCCCAGCCCTCGTGGGAGCCACGGGCCTTGCTGCGTGGCCCAGGGCCTTCCTTGCAGTTAGACACAGGGGTTTCCGCCATCGTGCACCACATGGATTGAGGGCATAAACGTCTCACTCCCTTTAACCATAACTGCCCCATAACCTCTGTACTCCTGCCAGGGTGCACTCCCTCCTGGTCCATGCACATGGCTGCAGTGGTGTTCGAGGTGGCTGTGGCCAGCGAGGCCTGTGTAGCCATTTGTGCTGGTCCCTGCATAGTTCTGCTGCGTGAGGACTGAGCTCTCCCTATACAAACTGTTTCCTTTCCATGGTCTGTCTTGTGCCCAAGCTCCTCGCACAGATTCGTACTTTGCCCTTGCAGCATCCCTTCAGGGTAGAAAGATAGCTGTGTTACTCATGGGAATCACGGGCACACAGGGATCAGGGAAGGGAGCTCTTTGGTTCCCCTGCTACTTTAGCTGTGGTTCCACACTGTGCTGGGTCCTCAGCCCTGATCCACAGCACTGTCTGCTCTCCTGCCCACCCTGGGCACAACTAGCAGCTGTGCCAGGGCAGAGGAGCTCGCAGCCCATCACATGCCCGCCCTGGGGTCACTGTAGGCAGATCCAGTCTGGAAAGAATTACTGGGTGAGTTTTCACAGCAGCTGTGCTCTGTGCTTGAGGGCATTGCATTGTGTGCAGGATGAGTCTGATGAGCAGGGTGGAAGGATGTGGCTAGTCCCTTGGGCCAGCAGATGCAAGTTCCAAAGGCCATGGCCTGCAGCTCTTGGAGGAGCTCTGCATTTGTTTGTCTGAGGATGCTGGAGGTTAATGATTGTGGGAATGTTACCATCTACCCCGCTTCCTGCGGGGCTGCTCGGAAGAGGGCTCAGAGGTTGCGGGGAGGAAGGTGCTGACTAAAGCCTTCTCTGGACTAAAACAATACACGTTCTGCCCAGCTTGGATGCCAGTGATGAGCTGTAACGCAAGCAGGCTGTGGACCGGTTGCTTGTCCTACGTGCATGGCTCCTGTTCCACAGCCTTGCTTGGAGCACCAGAGCAGGAAAACACTTCCTGGTTTGCTTGGCTCAGCCTTCAAGAGGAGTTGAGCCGGTCTGGCTGGTGGGGACGTGCGATGTGTGGTCCAGGCTGGGGTGCCTGGTTGTTTGGAGGTGATGCTTCTCTCTGACTACAGCATTATGCTCTGGACCCAGAACTGGCTGGGGCCGAGAGGTGGTTTTGCCTTCCTGGGTGGGATTTGCCACTTGAGAAGAGAGGACTTGACACCTTTCCTCCCCACTGGGGCTGTTTCCCTTTTCCCTTCTGAGCACCTGAAGGACTGGTCTGCAGTTCCCAACTCTGCTGTGCTTGGCCGTTTGGCAGGTGTCTGTTGGAGCCTGAGGTTGGGCAGGGCTGAGAACAGGTCAGGGTGGGAAGCAGGAGATGACTGTTTGGCTAGAGTAGCAACTGCTGCAAGCCCCCCACCCCTATAAAGCACTGCTCCGATGTGCAGCTCCCTCCAGTGCTGCACAGCCTTGCCCCTGCTCTTGTGCTAGCCTGACTTGGGGTGGGTGCAGGAGGCGATTGCATCCTGGGCCAGGTGCTGCAGCGCCTGTGGCCCTGCCTGGGGGTCTGTGTTCTGTGAGGAGCCGGGGGGTCTCCCGTGGGGGGCTCTCATAGTGAGGTTAACATGTTTTTTAGATTAAACCTTGCTAGGGCCAGGTGACAAAGCATCAGTCAGGGCCCTCCGAGGTTCAGGTGAACCCACTTTACGGCTGGTGAATGAGAATTGGGAAACTGCTCTTCTCCTGCTGGAAGGGTGTGAGCAGGCTCCCTGGCTGTCCCAAAGCCTGGAGCACAGGCTCCCTTCTGCTCAAGGGGAGTGCATCCCCGAGCCCCTCTCCTAGCATGGAGGGCAACTCCTGTCCCCCACCCCTGCCGGGAGCCCCAGCTCACGCGGAGTCTGCTCGAGTCAGCCACCAAGGTGGCAGGAAGCGCTGAATCTCTGCAGAGCGCCTGTTCTCTGTGGCTTTGGGACTCCCCTGTGCGGAGAGTCCTGCCCATGGCTGTGGCCGGGGTGTGTGTGGGAGCAGCCTCTGCTTGTCATTGGTGAGTGAAAGGTGTAACCGAAAGTGGCCCGGAGGTCGTGGGCCTTGTGCTCTGGGTGGGGGTGGGGAGCGGGTTATAGGAAGAGGCGTTGAATTGGCAGCCTCTTACTCAAGGCGTTCTTGGAAGTGCTCTTGGTTTGAATTGAGGACCCTGCTTGTGTTCCAGGATGAGGTGGTTTCTGTGCCCTGTTTCTTTGTGACCTGTGGGCTGAGCTAATTTAGGGGCACAGCCGGGGCCCTCAATGCACATGCCCTGTCCAGCCAGGATCAGGCAGTTCCCTTGCATCACCTTCGTCCAGACGGCAGCCTCCCGAGCACTCCTCTGCCAGGCCTTGGTCTCTCCTGGGGATGACCTGTCTTTCTTTTCCCGACTCCATCCTGTGCGCTGAGCGGAGTGCCTGAGAACCTCCTGTTCCTGGGCTGCAGAACCGGCTCCCGCCTACCTGCCACTGGCCCTCGGTGTGGTTGTCTGGCAGGGTGTGGGCGCTCAGGGATTTGGGGGAGGGCTGACTGCTGAGCCCAGGCAGAGAGGAGGATGTGGTGTGTGTTTGGGGCCTGGGTGTCCCCACGGGTTGGCTTGTACGGTGCTATAAATATCAGGCACTCAAATTTACCCTCTGGTGATTTCCAGGGAATGAGTGGGTGTGATTGTTTGACCTGCCTCATTAGTAAGAAGGCTCGTGTGAATTCATGTGCTTCAGTTGGCAGATGCCCTAGTGCTCTGATGCTGCCTGGTGCTGGGAAATGAAACCATCGGCTCTCAACTCCAGAGACCTGCAAAGGGGAAGAAGTTGAGCTTCTGGCCCCCACCTTCTGTTCCTTCTGCTTGCCATGTGTAGAAGGCCCAAAAGCTTTCTAAAGTTCCCAAGAAAAGACCAGAAGTCATAGGGGTGCTTACGCGTCCATCTTCTCATCTCGTGGAGAACAGAAGTGGAAGTTATAGCGCATCCCACCTGTAGTCTGGGAAAATCGGGAAGCACGAGGCGCGCAGGCTAGAACAGCTGGTGTCCTTGGCAGGGGTGGCCACTGGCCATGTAACGGAGGAAGTGCACTGGGAGCCTGGGGAAATGTGTGCCTCGGGTGTCCGTGGCAGCTGGCACCAGTGACCTGGCTGCCAGCCTGGTGCAGCTGTGTGGAGGTGTGTTGAGGAAGGTTCCTCCTGGCTCATCCCCTACCTCGGGGTGAGAGGGAGCTGTCCACTTCCACCAGCAATAAGGAGAAACTGATGCATAGAAATAACATGGGAGGAAGGTCTGAGCTCGCATGCCTGTCAGTGCTGGCCTGGCAGGGAGGGCCACCAGATCACAGCCTGCGGGTGGGAAGCTGTGTGGCTTTCTCAGTGCGAAGAAGACAGATCTGCTGTGAGGTGGGGGCCAGCGCTAAAGGCCTTGTTTACTTTAGGCAGAGATTTGATGGCCATCAGAAGAGCCACGGTTCCACATTTTTGTGGTGCGGGAGGGAGCTGGTCTGGGGCCAGGTCTGCCTGCTCCTAAGCCCAGGGGGTCGAGAACTCTCCTTAGTTACCAGGGAGGGAGGGCTGCAGAGTGTTTGTCCTGCTTCAAGCCCTCTGTGGTATTTCCTGGTATACCAAGTGACCTCTCATTTACTGGTAACTCTCCCAGTATTGTTATGCTTGGAGCCTTTACGGTTAGAGCTTCTGTATGCTATGCTGTGTCTTAGAAATGACGTGCTGGCCCCCATCTGGAGCCTCTGCTTGGGATTCAGCACAGAGCACAGCAGCTGCTGGCCCCAAAGAGCCCCCAAGTCGCTCATGTAGGAGGGCCCCAGCCCTGAGCTCCAGCGGGCTGCCTCCGTGGGCTCCCCCACCTGCGTCCTGCCCTGTGCCGGGACCTGCCGCCTGCTTTGCGTCATGGCCATTTCTGGTTCCTGTCAACCCAATGAAGTGTTTAATTCATTTCTTTTACGTAAGAACAATAGTTCGCGACAACTACGGTCACTTCCTTTGTCTGTCATGTTTCCTTTCTTCTCCTGTTTCCCGGCAGGCCTCTGGCTGTACCTAGCAGGAAGCACTCTGCCCTGCCTAACCCTGATTGGCTCTCCTAATTTTGGGTACAGGTCAGTTCATCGGGACTTGGAAGCTCAGGTTGCAATTGTGACGGAAAATAGAGACCTGCAACACCAGCTCCATCAGGTGGGTGCGAGTGTGAGGGGTGGGGGAAGGGAACGCTGCATTCAAAACCTACCATGGCAGTCAGTGAAACCCTTCCCAAGCAGAGGGGAACTTGAGGAGCTGTCAGTTAAGTGTCTATCGATGAGCTGCTGGCTACAAGTGCCTGCTTCTGGGAACCCGAGGCCATGACGAGAAGAAGAGCTGTCTCCAATGACCTCCCAAGTGATGGGAACTGTTAGGCCCTGGGGGCTGAGCAAATGCAGACAAGCCACTCCGAGCAAAGCCGCTGACTCTCCTGTGGCTACTGATGGCAGCACGCGCTCCTGGTTCCCTCCATTGTCAGGTAGCGTCTGAGCTCTGGGGAACAGGCCTCAGGCTCTCACAATTGCTGACCTCACTTGCAGAGTGGTTTGGATCTTAATCATGCAGCTGGAATCCTGTACAGGAGTGAGAATGCCACTGTGGCTGCTTTCTAGCCATTTCCTTTCACACAGGACTTGGGAGAGAGGGGAGGCAGGGCAGGCCTGTGCTTCCAGCATCACTGTTACCGTAAGAAGACGTGTCCGGCTCGTCTTGGGTTGCTCAGGAAGGATTGTGCTCCTCCGGGTCTAGATTCCTCTCGGTGGTTTAGAAGCTTTCAGCTTTCACTTCATTGTCGTCCGTGTCCCCCCCCCCCCAATCTGTTTGGGCTTTGGCAATGTCGTGAGCAGCTCCTGCAAGTCCGAGCTCTTTGGCACAGATTAGTGCAGATGCTTTATTTAAAGCTTTGCAAAACCCTACTGGATCACACCCAGGCCTGGTATGGGAAGGCTCAGTTTCTGTCAGATCAGTGGGAACTGCCTCTCTTTCCCCAGGCTGATTTGGGCCTGTGAAATGGGTTAAAGTGTGCCTAGGCAAACAGGGTTCTCTGTCTTGCTGGAAGTCATACGGATGTTCCCCTTTGTGTTTGTCCCGCAGTTGGGCTTTTCCCAATGAGAAAAACCGATAGCAGTGCTTGGAGTGAAGAGACTGTGGAACAAGCACGTGGCCTGCAGCCATCCATCAGCAGGTGTTTCCCACGGGTGTGAAACTGCCCTGCAGTTTACTGCCCGGCTGGGGTGAGGCTGAGGTGAGCTCTGCCGGAGCCTTTGCAGCACCAGCACCTTGCTCTCACCCTTGTTCGCACTGACTCTTTTCCACTGGACCTGATGGCTGCACTTAAGTGTTAGGCATCAGGCGTGTCTGCCTCCTGTGCGCTAGCTCAGTGAAGACTTTGTTTCCAGATGTACGAACAACCGGGCTGTTTGGTCCTTCCAGTAGTCACGAGACCTCAACAAGTTCACTTTGTGGTTTCATTTGCCTTCGTGCCTTGGAGCCTTTCATCTTTATGCTCTTGTACTTGTAAGTGCTCTGCAGGTCTCTTTGCTGACTCCCTGCAGCAGCTATTTTACAAAATGTTGCTCACCTGCTGCCTTGGCAGGGCCTTGCCTGTGTCACGCTCTAACACACTTACACTTTCAAACGAATGCTTGAACTGGGGAAGGTGCCAAGCAGGCTCAGATGGCTCTTCTGGCTGCTGCACTGAATGAACCAAGGTAAATATTTTGTTAAAAGTTCTGAGCTGAAACAGGCCTCACTACATTAAGTGACTAAAGCCTGGAGCCTCTCGCACAGGGTCTAGCATGGGACTCGAATGCTTGTAATTGGTACAAGCAGGCTGGCCGCTGCCAGGATCTTCTGGATCGCACAGCAGCTCGGCATGTTCCTGTCCTGTTTCCCCCCAATTTCCTCCTCCCCTGTGACAGCAGGAAAGAGAGTTTCTGTGTAAAGTGCAGAGAAGACACTGCTGCTTCCAGAGTGTGCCCCACACCATATTTGCATGCACAGGAAAGCAAGCGACCTCACTAGTTTTGCTGAAAGAGCCACTTCTACCTTTGATCAAACCACGACTTTTGTTTGCCCTGTGAAAAGTATCGGAACCGAGCGCTCACTTCCCTCTCCAGCAGCGCTGCGTGTGCTTTGAAGAAACTGGAGCATTTCTGGTAACTTGCTTGAAACCTTGACTGCATACTCATTTGAAAACATGTTGGAGCTGTGTCTAGAAAGAGTTTTTCAAACCTGGCTCTTGAGATCAGAGTCTGGCTTCTTTCTCAGGCTGTTGCAGCTAGGGGCTGGCCCCTGTCACTGTTCCTGCTTCCTATAAGTGTAAGTGAGTTAACTAATTGCTTCAGGGCCCAATCCAGCAGGCGGCTCTAGTGGGGCCCATCTTAAGGTGTAAATAGCTGAGCATGTTTAGGCAGAGTATTTGAATGTAGCTGCCTAGAATCAAGCCGCGAAGCCTCAGCAGACAGCCTTGTTGTGACATGCCGTGTGCTCACGGTTTGGTGGGCGAGTTGCGTCTCTGGTTCACATCGCAGTGTTGGACAGGATGGGTCCTTGGCCCCTGACCTGGCAGAGCTGTTGAAATCAGACACGTGGGAGAAGAATGATTTATCCTTCTAGCAAGAGCCACAGTCAGTCTTTAGCTGAGACTGGATGTTTGTGAGAAGGGCAAAGCATTGGCTTCTGGTCCTTTGTCTTGTAGGAGCAGGAGCAGCTCTACCTCAGGTCGGGCATGGTGTCGCCATCTACGTTTGAGCAGCCGAGTCGCTATGTGAAGCTGTGGGTGAAGCTGGTAACGCCTCTGATCAAGAACTTCTTCTGAAGGCACGAAGGGAGGCAGCTTGGGGTGAGTGTTACATTTTGCTTCGGGAGGGCCTAAACCTCAGGAAATGATCCCATGGTGACTGCGCTTCTTCGTGTTGCCTTTCTTTGTAATGGGGAAGAGTCAGTCATCCCAGGTTCCTCTCAAACTGGGAAGCTGCTCGCTGCAGCTCAGAGCCGTCTGAGGGCCTGCGTTACATTTCCCCATGAGTGGGTTTCATTGCTACTTTGTCATAGTTTAGAAATAACTAATGATCCTTCTGGGAAACGGGGAGGAAAGAACCCAGCAAAGGCTTCCCATACACCGGTAGGATTTCCTCTTATGAAATGTCCCTCTTGCAGCTGGGGTCTCGGCCTGGACTCTGACTGCGTGCTCCTGATGAGCATCATGCCCTGCCCTCTCCTCTGCGACCTGGGGCTGGAGGGAGGAGGAGACTCATCTAGGGCCTGTTCAGAAGTGCTTACCTTGGCCCATTGGGCAGTGTCTGATGAGAGCCATTGCTGTCCTGGCTCAGACCAGACCACAGCAGCCCTTCCTCCCAGTACTTGCACAACTGCCAGGAAACCAGGGGGGCCCGAGTCCAGCCGGCCACGATTGGGAAAGGGCAGCATGTCTGCCCCTGTGCTGCCGCCTCCTTGTGTGACCTCAGGCTCTGCCTGTAACCTACTCCCACCTTTGAAAGAGCCTGGCATGTCTGTGCTGCAGGGATGCCCAAGTCCCTGGCACGCAGGGCCAAGCACCGGGCTGGCAGATCCCGAACCCGAGAGCTCCCCGAGCCGTGCCCTGCCTGCATTCCTGGGATCTTGCCTACAGGAGAGCCTGGCGGCAGTGTTGGGGCTTGTCCCCTGGCATGGTGGGCTGAGATGCTGAGAGTCAGTTGTGGGAAGGGCACTGGAGGGAGGCTCAGCACTCGTGGGATTACTGCCATGTCTGTCCTGTGGAGAGGACGGATCCAGCCCAGACCGTATCCATTGCCCTGCTGTGTCAGCGTGAGCAAGCGTAGGCTGGAAGGTTTGGTGGTGGTTAGTCAGGAGTGCAGACCACAACCAGGACCGCAGTGACGGCTAGCTGAGGTGGGCCCAGGGCCTGGCTGGCAGGAGACCAGCGCCAGCCGTTGGTGGCATTCCCAGGCCAGAGCTGTCCCTAGAAGCCTGGCCCACGTTCTGCTGTTGCTGTAACTGCTCCTTAAAACAAGGCCTCTTGTGCCAGCTGCTGTGGGCGGGGATGCCTGAGTGGCTGAAGCTGTGGAGCCAGCTGTGTTGTTGTAAGGCTGGGCACCAGGCTCCCGCATGCAGAGGGAGAGGGTTGGGCTCTAGCTGAGGCCTGGGGAGGGACTAGCCTCCCTCGGCTGCAGTGGGCCACGCTGGGGCGAGCGTGCCTGCAGCAGGGATGGGTTCTGCAGGCTCCACCGGTGGGATGGTGTGGGTGGCCTGCCACTGGTGCTAGCCTCACTGCGGGGAGCCGTATGCCCACAGGCTGTTGAACTTGCTGTTCAAGGGGGCAGGCCGGGGCCTGGGTGATGGAGCAAGGGGATGGACAGACCCTGCATCCCAGAGGCAGAGACAAGTGTGCCGCACTTAGGTGTTTGCAGCCCGCTGCACCAAGGCAGAGCGGGGAGGTGCCGTGAGCCTTAGCAGCAGGGGCCAGGTGGGTGGTCCCAGCACGGGGTGCCCGTGCTCCCCTCTGCCCTGCCCGGGATCCCCTGGGGTAGGGGCGGTGGTTGCTGGGGCCGGGTGGGAGGCGAGTGCTCTGCTGTTGCCATGGAATAAGTGACTGGCAGGTGTGTGGGACTAGACGTGAAGGTGGCCACGGGCCAGTGTTTGTGGCTGCCACTTCTCTTCAGCATATGCTCTCAGCAGGGCTTTCTCACAGCCTGACTTGGTGTTCTCACGGGGGCATCAGGCGGCCACGTATCGTGACAGCCGCCCAAACAGGCCAGTTACTACTGAGCTGCCGTGCTAGGAACTTGATGTTTCTTTTATTGTCACACGGCTAAAATACCTCTGGGACAGACGAGGGGTTGGGCTGCGCGTTCAGCGAGTGGCCACGGGCTCTGCAGCCTGTGCCGAGTGGTGGTTCAGTAGACGATCAAACCTGCAAGAGCAAAGCGACAGCAGCAAGAATCCACTTAGCCGGTTTCTCTTTTGTCTTCAGGTTGAAGGTCCAGACGTAAGTGGGGCCGCGTATCCGCGTCTTGTAGACGGGGCACTCATAGACGTTCTTGGTGTCCATGCGGTCCACGGGGATGGCTCTGATGAAGATGACTGGCATCGAGGGCGTCAGCTCCTTCAGCCGCGCGTCTGCGATGACGCCACTAGGGATGTCCCAGCGAGCGCCTGGAAGGGTGCGAGCTGTCAGCCGGAGGGGGTGGGGATGGGGATCCCGGCAGCACGGCCTGGCTGAGGGCTGCACAAGTCCCCCTTGGTGCCACCTCCTCGTGACGCACACTAACGCCTCCTGTGGTAATGCTAGGGGTGGGGTCTCGGGTGTGCAGTCCTGCCCCGAGCTCTGGGGACAGGCATGCAGCGAAGGGCAGAGCTTGGCCAAGCACAAGCCACGTTAAACGATCCCGTGTAGTCTGTTGTGCACTCCTGCCTCGTCCCTACACTTAGATTAGTTGCTTGGGTCAGTCTCGGTGGGGTCTGCCTGGGAACTTCCTTCTTACTTGGGCTCCCTCAGTCCAGTCTCCTGTACTATTGGGACTCCCCTTCCCAGCCCTGTCGTAACCTCTGCATCTTGCTGTTGGATTCCCAGCCTGAGCATCAGCCTGTCGCTGCTTCCAAGTTAGCCGAGTGCTGCTCCCTGCTGGCCCCTGCCTTGCACTGGTACACAATAAAAGCAGCTGCTCCCCGAACGGCCCCTGGCTCTTGTGTACGGATCAACACAGCGCCGCAACGCCAGCAAGAGCTGCCCGCCTTGTGCTGCTGGGTGCTGGCAAGCACAGCCTGGTCAGTCATTGCTCCTTAGCTGTGGCCTGGGGGGACGGATTGTGTGTACGCTGTACGTGGCGCTGGCCTCATCATGGGGCTGTGGCCGTGGGAGTGCTCCTGCCCTGAGGCAGCACGCTCTGAACAGCGTCAGTGGGAGTGGGGCCCTGCGCTGACGTGGACAGCGGTGATGGCCTGGGGCCACTAGCAGATGACAGCTCAGAGAGCAGGGCTCTGTGCGCTGCAGGGAGGGAAGATGTCAGAGCAGGAGGATGCATTGCCTCAGCCCTCCTAGAAACTGCATGTTTAGACTGCTGGGGCTGGGGCTGGGGCTGAGGCCAGGAAAGCAGGGGAGCTGCTCTCAGACTCCCAGCTGCAGCGTCACACACTATACAGATCCTCACTGACCTGGCAGCAGCAATGAGCAGCAGGCCCTACCTTCCATGAACAGGCCGTGTATGTAAGAGCCTTCCCGGGGCGGAGCTGTCATGTCCTCGCGGTTCTTCTTGGTCACCTCCATGGAGAGGCACATCTTGTCCAGCGGCCACTCGTTCTTCCTGGCCATGGACTGCATGATGGCCGTGAGGAATGACTGGGGGTTGAAGAAGCCTGCCAGCCACACTGTCGCGGGCAGCGCGAAGTCGGTGGTCCAGGCTTCTAGCTCCTGCAGTGGAATCGTTTGCAGCAGTTGGGAGCAGAGCACCAGCACGGCCGGGCCAGCTGCCCGCTGCTCTGCAGCTGAGCACACGCAGGCTTCCCCTTCCCCGCGAGACCAGACGGGTTTGGCTACGTCTTGCAGTGCGGGGCTGGGCTTACTGAGGAGACTGGCAAAGGAGCCCAGGCACTGGTGGCAACTGTTTGGTCATGGGCTCTTCAGGGTGTGACTGCTGCTCACGGTTTTCCAAACACAAAAGCATGTCAAGGTGCTGGGCTGCCTCCTGTTCTCCGGCAGGGGCTACTCTCCTACTGCACAGACCGCCTCCCCCAGCACTAGGGTTTTCACTACAAGCCTCGCAGGCCCTGACCTCCCTGCCTGGAGCCAGCAGGCCCATGGGAGCCACACATGCAGAGCCAGCCTGGGCAGCGAGGCCTTACCCCTCTCCTCTGTCCATGTATAAGAGGGAGCTGGCTTCAGCCCTGTTGCTACTGGCTGTGTGTGCAGGTGGACGCCTGCCACCAGCTCATGTGGCAGGTGCCACGGGCTTACCCTAACTGAAGGCCGTACCCTTCGGTTAAGAGCTGCTGTGCCCCACGCACAGGCACTGAGCAGGGATGGGGTGACTCACCCGGATCCGAAGTAGCAGGTCTGCGTACCAGGCTCCCAAGCCCAGCAAGGAGGGGTAGGCCCGGTTTGTCCAGGACTCGGGCACGTTGTCGTAGAAGAGGGCGGTAGACAGCTCCTCCATGTCTGTCGTAATCGTCAGCTCCCCCTTGAGCAGAGGGAAGCGCAGGTTCGTTTCTGCACAGCCAGGCACGCTGCCCCGGTCCCCGCTGCATGGAGCAGACCCCACATGGCTCACGGGCAGGGCAGTGCTGGCCCCAGCCTGGGCCTTGTCTAGCCCTGGCCTTGCCCAGGGAGAGGCTTGCTACGGCACTGAGGGAGCTCGCGCTTTCGTTTGCAGCTGTAGCTCCTGGAAACACCTGGGGTGCGGCTGCGGGCCGGCAGGGGCCTGTAGCTATTGGGGTGCGGGGTACGGGGGGAGAAGCAGAGCCCAGGGATGTGGCAGCAGAAAGGAGGGTGATGCCCAGGAGCACGGTTTGCCAAGGCGCCGTACGGAGGCCAAGCACCACGGCCTGGCAGCGGCATCACGTACCTTCAGCCCCAAGTTCAGCTCCTTCAGCGAGCGCCGCAGCTCCGTGGTCAGGATGTTCATCCTCTCGCACTCCTGGAAGGCCACCACCACGTAGGGCGTTTTCTCCGCTGCCTTCGCCATCACCTCCACCATGTTGAAGGGCTCGGGGAGCCGCTCCAGGATCTCATCCAGCCCGGCCTTGACCTGCAGCACGCGATGCTGGCCCTCAGCACACGGCGGGGGGCTGGGGCTCGGGGTGTGGCAGGGCAGGCCCACGCACCTCCTCCAGTTACCACAGGGACTTGGACCCCAAGTGTGGCCCCTGCCTTACGCCCTGCTGCAGCCCTCGTCCCCCTGCCCAGGGGCTGGCTCTGCCGCCCCCCCCCCGCAGTCCTCCAGCACTGCCGCCAGGAGCTGAGCCCTCCCTGCCCCACCACCTCTTGCCCGCCCTGCTGTCATCTCTGCCTCCCTTGGCGGGGTCTGCAGGAGCAGGACAGGAGAGGTGGATCTGGGAATGGGCCACGTGCAGTGGCCCAAACATGGGGGGGGGGGGGCCACAGGCCTGATCCCTGTGGCCCTGCACTGGTTCCATGTTCAGCCTGCTTGGGGCAGAAACAACATGCAAAGCTCTCCCCCGATGCCTGCCCCTGCCCCCACTGCACCCGCCCCCTCCCCAAATCCCCACCCTGGGGCTGTCCAGACCCATGGGCCCCTTTCCCACAGCAGCTGGTTTCGGGGTGGGGCAGCATGGGGGCAGACAGCATGTGCACTGGGCTATGAGGGTCCCCCCTGTTCTGTACCTGCCCCCCCACAACCCACCAGCAACTGGGAAACTGGGCATATTGCTGGCAGGGGGTCATCAGAGAAATGGGACTGCTGGATAATTGCCTATTGTGG